TCAAAATTACCATACAGAAAAAAATAAGAAACTAAGTAAGCCTTGAAGTTTGCCTTTACTGAGTCATAAAATAAGAGGGTGATATAGGTCAACTTAAAATAATTGCAACGGTATTTTGCCTAAAAGTTGAAAACATTTAAATGAACTTTGTGTGACAACACAAGCTGTAGCCTAATCTTGGATTTTTTTTTTCAGTAACCATGTAATATTCTCTTTTACTTTTCTTTTGCTGAAAGATATATTTCATGGACTAGAGCACTCCAGAGTAGAGAACACAGAGTGAGGTAAAAGAAGTCCAGAAAAGAGAAGGAAGGCTAACAATACATCCAGACACACACCCAGAAGTCTGCACATAGACAGGAGAAACAGCCAGATTTTCTCATCCTGAGCTGCTAGATTACGTCCAATCCATTCAAGACTCTACTAGATGCTGTCAGCAGAGGCAGTTATGAGTCTGCACCAGAGAATCTATGCAATTGCAACTTTACTTGCTGGGGAATTCTCAACCATATCTCTGAAACAAAGGAATGAGATGTGCCCATCTCATAGTATAGTATACAGTTTTATTATTAGACAAATTTAGCAATGATTATTTAATTGTGATCCTTCTGCAGCTATGTCTATTTTTTTTCAATCCTATGAAGTGAGAGTTGCATATAAATAAATTTTGAATTTTAGATCATTTAACTGAACTCTATTCAATTTTTGCAGCGAAGAACGCTCTACTTACCACATTTAGCATAGGGAAAGTTTGCCCGGAATATAAAATATTCATTAAACTTCTAAAAATATACAGATGATAGGAAATATCTGTCTATAATATGCATTCAAGCCAGTCAACTCCTAAATCCTCTTGTGAGATTATCAGATACACCCTATATTCTTTAATCTGTTTAGGCTCAAATTAAGACACTGTTAGGCTCAAATTAAGACACTCAAATCATTATCACTTGGATTTGTAGTAAACTTGCTCAAAGAGATTTCCTCTGACAATGTGAAACACGTATTTGATCTACGTACAAGGACATTAAGCCCTCCATGTAGTCCAATGTCCTTCGCTTTTTACTGGTAAGAAAACCGAACTACACTACAGATCTGTCTGTATGTTAGTGATGTCCAGAAAGCCTGCTGTGAAGTGCATCCCATGCTCTAGTTTGAGGTCTGTGACACCCCCTCACCTCCACGCAACTAAGCAGAGACCCTACATTCAGCCTGCTGAAAACACAGTACTGTGGTTCTTGTCCAGCTACCTTGCCCTTCTTAGTAAAACTAATCTAAGTACATTGAAAACATTGGTTTTGACCAACTTGTACAAAAAATTAGCACAATCTAAACAGTATACAGTAAGATGTGAAAGTCTCCCGGCTCTAATGGCCTTCCATAGTCCCATTCCTCAGGGGTCACCAGTGCCAACAGGTTGGTGTGTCTCTTTCCAGTCCTTCTATGTTTGTATAAATACATAATTTTTTTACAGAAGTGATATAATGCCATGCATAGAGTTCTGGAACTTGCTTTTTCATTCCTAAGTTAGAAACGAGACATGAACAGTCGTCTGTTTAATATAAGAGAAAAATATAATATGTTAAAAAGATATTTCAGATTCTAGAAGTAAAGAAAGGCCTGGACAAGCCAGAAATCAGTCATTACTCGACACGGATTCAAATTCTCCTTCGAGTTTAGCCTACTTTCTTCTAGGTTAAGAGAAGTAAAACACTAAACCTAACTACATCCAAAAGAAAATGCCAAACATCTAACCACAATTATACACCACCTTATATTATGGGTCTTTTGTTTTCCATAAGTAGTATCTTCTAGTCTATATATTTCTTGGAATGGAAATACTATTTAGACAGAATATTCTATTTAAGGAAACAGAATAAATTCAGTATTTAAAGCCTCTTTCACTTTGGTATATTCAGCCCAGCATCTAATAGTGACTCTTGTGTGTCCTTTCTTGCTTTTATCCAATGCAACTCTTCAGCTAAAGCTTTAAAGGTGTCTAGGTTTAAAAACACTTGAGATATATCAATATAAAATTTTTAATTTCAAGTTGCTTTAAAGTATGAAGGAAAGGAAACAACAGAATATTTTTTCAAGTCCAAGAAATAAAGACTATATTTCAATAGTGACTACTTCTAGGATGAAGTGGCAAAAGTCCATCCATTTCTAATGATCATGTTGCTTGAAGTTACAAAGGTCTAACAACACAAACAGAAGGCAAATGTGTTGTCTTTGAGTATGGCTGACAGAAAACATTCCCTTAGTTTCAGATGTGCAACACAGTGATTCGACAGCTGTGTACATTACACTATGCTCACCACAAGTGTAGCTACCATCCACCACCATATAATGCTATTACAAACCATTGACTCTATTCCCTATGCTGTACCTTTTATCCCTGTGACTTCTTCATCCATACCTGGAGGCCTGTATCTCCCACTCCCCTTCCCCCATTTCGCCAGTCCTCTGGAAACCATCAGTTTGTTCACAAACAGAAGGAAAATTTTAACATCTCATATAATTGTGGGCTATGTGTTCATGATCTCAAAAAAAAAGAAAAAAGAAAAACCAAATGACTCATTTTTTTTTCCCACTGAACTGTCTTTTTTTAGGCATTGTCATAGAAAATTTAAGGTTAATAGGAAGAAGGAAATTCATTTTCTGAAATCCTTAAATTAAATGCAGTTACTATGGAAAGAACTAGATTTTAGTGCTGACATTCCCAGGTTTATAATTCACGCTTTTATAGCAGTGTGACAAACAAACCTTGCTCACCTTCCTATAATAACTTTAAAAATGGGATTGTCAACTCGTATTTACCAACCCTGTCATTTCCCAGCATAATTACAGCATACGTCCCAAACAGAAAAGTTGTTTTTAACCTATGTTAAAAAAACACAACTGTGGGGCGCCTGGGTGGCTCAGTCGTTAAGCGTCTGCCTTTGGCTCAGGTCATGATCCCAGGGTCCTGGGATCGAGCCCCACCGGGCTCCCTGCTTGGCAAGAGCCTACTTCTCTCGCTCCCACTCCCCCTGCTTGTGTTCCCTCTCTCACTGTCCCTATGTCAAATAAATAAAACCTTAAAAAAAAAAAAAACACAACTGAACGAGTAATACCTTCTCCTTCCCCTCCAGCCTCTGTTTCTCCACCCCTCCGATAGCCAGCAAGGATCTGCATGGTTTCTTCACATAATTGTATAGCCCTTCACAAACAACCTTAGCCGTAATGATTCCATTTCAATAACGCTGGCTATTTGCTGTATATTTTTAAATGGCTGATGATAAAGTCATGGGCTCTCTTACAGACAGAGGTTATGATTTTCTTAGTAATTGTTATTCATAATATTCTATATGTACAAACATTCAAGGGCAAGTCCTTCCTTCTGAGATTGCAGCTAATCTGACAAATTTAAGTGATGACAATACTGGAAGGAACAGAAACACAGAGCTCAACAAGATAAGCTGTTACGAACAAAATTCGGACTAAGATGTGGTCAAAACCAACTTACTTGGGCCTTTCATAAAATTACTTAAATTTAAGAATCTTAAAACTAGGGTGCCTGGGTGGCTCAGTCAGTTAAGTGTCTGCCTTCGGCTTAGGTCATGACCCTGGGGTCTTGGGATTGAGCCCTGCATCGGGCTCCCTGCTCAACGGGGAGTCTGCTGCTCGCTCTCCCTCTACCCCTCCCCTGCTGCTCATGCTCTCTCAGGCTCTCTCTCTCTCTCAAATAAATAAATAAAACCTTCAAAATAAATAAATAAAATTTTTAAAAAAGAATCTTAAAACTAACTTATCCTGCAATTTATACAGTTATATGGTTTTATATGTATAAAATATACAAACATAATATAATAAAAACTGGCCTGAAAGGAATATATCTTTTTTCTTTAAGTGAATACCCCTGGAATGAATAGTGATTTTTATTCTTTTTTTTGTGCTTGAATGTACTTTCTAAATTTTCCACAGTGAATATTTACTATTTTTTTTTCTTTTTTTAAGTAGCCTCCTTGCCCAGCATGGGGCTTGAACTCACAACCCTGAGATCAAGACCTGAGCAGAAATCAAGAGTTGGACACTGAACCAACTGAGCCACCCAGGTGCCCCAATATTACTATTTTTAAAGCAAGAATAAAAAAAGAAAGAAAAGAAATGCATGCCTATCTACTAAATCCATTGTGCTGGTACCCTTCATCTGTAAAATAAAGTCCAAGTTGGCTAGGCTTGTGTTAAAGCTCTTGGAAGCTGGTCACACATCTTACCAGCCCAATCTTATTTCTAATGAACACCCAACTCTGTTTCAGATGGTCACCAGGCCTGTCATGGGCCATGTAGATTTGCCTCAGGTTCTTCTCATCAGGCCTAAAGCTTCTCCTCTCCTCTAGCATTTCTGATCATAACTCCTGATTGTAGCCATTTTAGGCCAACTTCAGAGATTCATGATGCTCTAAACCAAGTCTGGCAATCATACAAAAATCATTTTGGGCCCTGATTCCAATTAATTCAGCAAAATAATTTAGAAGGAAGCCCTGCTGAGGGCAAGAATCTCATCAATATTTGTTAAATGAATGAACACAATCACTACTGTGATCATAACAGGATTGGCAAGGAACATTTATTGAGAGCTTTGTATTTATAAGAAAGCACTGTGTCCAAACTTCACTGATCTCATGTAATGCTCTAAACAATCCTCCATTTCACAGATGAAAAAATTGAGCCTCAGGTAGGTTATGTATATTTCCCAGGGAGGTATAGCCAGTGTTGACTTGGGATTCAAATCCAGCTGTGTGTGATACCAGTATGCTCTACACTATCAAATTTGCTAATGGAAGGTCTACTAGAAATCATTTTGCCTATAATATATTTTTTTTAAATTAATCTGAATATCCATGAAGCTAAGTAAAAATGATGTGTTGAATTACCAAGTTTTCTTTTACATATAAAAATAGATACAAAAACAATAAAATTTTCTGTTGAATCTCAATACATAATGAAATGTTTACCTGTATAGGACCAGCCAATCTCTTCAACGAGTTTTCTTTGTTGTCTGTAGTATCCATAAGCCCAATCTACAACCAAGAAAAATCAATTGATCAATGTGTAGAAAAATATATGTGTCCAAATTAAAAATTTATCAGATGCCCAAATCATTCATACCACAGATGGTCCTCAATTACTCCTTCCCATGTCACCTTCCCGATGACTCCTCTCAATGCCAAACACCATCATTATAGTCTCTGTCATTCCTGTTCTCATAGTTAGTATAAATTTTAGGGGGCACATTTAAAAAATGCTGAAGTTCAGGTAGGGACAAAGCAAATATTCTGGGTAAAGCAGGAGCAGCCTAGAGGGGTTCATCCCAAAGAAAAATGGGTCAGAAAGAATAATTTGTCTTATCTTTAAATTTTTCTTAACAACATTCCCTAAGTCAAGTATCTGAGATCCTGTTGATTAGAGATACTTTTAGGTTTATAAACAAAGTTTGATCCATCAATGCATCTGGGATACCCAGATGTTTTCAAAATTTGTTTCCTTCTGCCAAAAAGTGAAATTAGCCACCTTAAGGAAATGAGAATTTAAGTGTGTAAATGTTGGGTGGGAGAAAGGCTATGTTAAACCATGTAGGTGACTTTGTCTCTTAGAGGAACCTAGATGCCCAAGTGAGGTAATATAGTGGGGAGGTTAGACATCATAAAAGTGGATGCCTCATGACCCCAAGAGAGTGATTCTAGAACATGGGGCAAAATAGAAAGGAAAATGGATGGAAGCCAAAGTCTCACTCTGCATGATTCAAAATTTTGCCAGGAGCCACACCTGCACTCAAGAAATTGGGATGTGATAATTCCTCCTTCTTTCTGTGCCATTGCCTGTTAATCCCAGGCTGTACTAACATTAGCACTCCATTTCCATTTCAGCTACACTGTGGGCAAAATAAATATTTGTGAGCTAGGCTTAAAACCTGATCAGTGTTGGGCGCCTGGGTGGCTCAGTTGGTTAAGCGACTGCCTTCGGCTCAGGTCATGATCCTGGAGTCCCGGGATCGAGTCCCACATCGGGCTCCCTGCTCAGCAGGGAGTCTGCTTCTCCCTCTGACCCTCCTCCCTCTCATGCTCTCTGTCTCTCATTCTCTCTCTCTCAAATAAATAAAATCTTAAAAAAAAAAAAAGCCTGATCACTGTTGACAAAACATTCTGTAGAAAAGGTTGCAGAATAGCTAGTTTACAAATAAATATGTGGGACATTACTTATTCATAAATGGAGTTTCTGTCAATATAGGTTTCATTTGAATACAAGGATTTTAAACTAGATCATACCATACCTATACTTAAATATAGGTATGATCTTTCTCATCATTTGGGAAAATAACTATTTCTTCTTATTCTTGCTACACAGTTGTTTTCTCTTTATTGACAATTCTCAATGTCAGGAATGCAAATATCTAAGGACACTGCAGAAATTATTTTCCTTTCATCTGTGTTATATACTCTCTAATTAGCACAGCATGATAATAAATAACTGCTAAACTATTCCATAAAAGCTAAAAAGCAGATCTGCTATCGGAAATACATATTCTGAAACTGATCATTCAAAACCAAAACTTACTTTCAAGAAAGAAGGTTTTTCTTTTTGTTGTAAAACTTTGATTGTTCATAAATATAGGTAAATATTCTATTGTCCGTATAGCACATTACAGCACATTTTTATTTTTATAACAGCTTTATTGAAATACAATTTACACATCATACAACTCACCCATTAGTGTATACAATTTAATGGTTTTCAGTATGTTCACAGACTTATGCAATCATCACCACAATTTTATTTTATTTTTTTAAAGATTTTATTTATTTATTTGACAGAGAGAGAGAGACAGAGTACGAGCAGGGGGAGTGGCAGGCAGAGGGAGAGGGAGAAGCAGGCTCTCCGCTGAGCAGGGAGCCCGACGTGGAGCTCGATCCCAGGACCCTGGGATCATGACCCAAGCTGAAGGCAGACACTTAACAACTGAGCCACCCAAGCGCCCCATCACCACAATTTTAGAACATCTTCATCACCTCCATAAGAAATTCCACAACCTTTGGCTGCCTCAAGGCACCCCCAATCCCACCCCCATGTCCCACTGGTCTAGACAACCACTATCTACTTTGTTTCTACAGATTTGGATATTCTAGACATTTCATATAAACAGGATCACACAATATAGCCTTTTGTGACTGGCTTCTTAAATTTAGCACAATTCATGTTTTCAAGGTTCATCCATGTTGTAGCATATATCAGTACTTCATTCTTTTGGATTGCCTAATAGTACTTCATTGTATGGTAACCAAGATGGTCTTAACGTTTCTTTCAGCTTGATTAAACTTTGGAAAGGCTTCTTCCTGACTCTAGGCCCTCTGGTCCCCCCCTTTCTCAGAGCATTTGGTTTAGGAAACTTGTAATTGTAAATTCCTTCTCTGCCCCTTTGAGATATAAATCTTTTTTTAATAGCCACATGCCAGTTTTACAACCAGGAATGCACTACTCAAGGACATGGGAACCATATCTTTGAAGGGAAATAGGACCCTTATCTCCCAGTTTCTGTGAAAGGGTAGGAGTTTAATTTTGGTGGTGTGCCTTGCTCCAAGTTGCAAAAACTACTTCCTGTCATGAAGATACGAGTTTATCTTTCCTTTGGATAAAGCCAATTAGCAAACAAATGGCCTATAACCTCCTGCTAATGTCATGCATTACTGTTCCACTGGGGCTCAACATCAACCCTTAAAAAAACTTACCCCTCTACTTCATCAAAGTTGAGTTCTGACTTGGTTCTGGCTTCTCTCCTCATTGCAACAACCCTGAATAAAGTCTCCCTTGCTTGTTTAACTTTTTCCAGTGAGTTTTTTGTTTTGACAATGGATATACCACATTTTATTTGTCCATTCATCAACTGATGGATACTTGGGTTGTTTCTTCTTTTTGGCTATTATGAATAACACTATTAATATTCAAGCCTATGTTTGTTTTTCTACTTAAAAAATAATAGTAGGTTCATAATTTATTTTTCAAATACAGTTGTCACATAAAATGGTAATCATTTAAGGTCAAATTCTGGGAGCAAGTGTTTCTTCATGATCAAGAAAAATACAATTAGATATTAGAAAGGGCCTCAAAGGTCATTTGAGTGAGACTTTAACAGTCTACAAAAATATAATTCCTATGGGGCACCTGGGTGGCTCAGATGGTTAAACGACTGCCTTCGGCTCAGGTCATGATCCCAGGGTACTGGGATCGAGCCCCACATCGGGCTCCTGGCTCAGCAGGGAGCCTGCTTCTCCCTCTCCCTCTGCCTCTCTCCCTGCTCATGCTCTCTCTCTCTTGCTCTGTATCTCTGTGTCTCAAATGAATAAATAAAATCTTTAAAAATATATATATATATAATTCCTAGAAATAAGGTAATTTATGCAGCCAAAATGTAAATGGGTTTGTATGGTAGTAAGTGGCAAAATGGAAGCAATAAGGCATGGCTCCTGCCTTCCCCAATATCAAGGACCCCTAACAACCTTGACCTATTGGTTACTCTCTTAAGGAGCTTTGCCTGAGGAACCCTTATAACATGTATGCTTTCAAGAAAAACAAGGTAAAACAAAACAATACGGTGGCCTAGAATTTAACCAGAAGAAATTATTTGAACAAATAAATTATAAAGAATTGATTGTACGTTTTTTGACCTGGCTGTCAGTTGAAATTTTCCTCTGAAATTTTGCACTGGTCAGAAGGAAAATATGTATTGTCATTTATCATATGTTTTAAATATAAATATTTTTTAAAAGTAAGACATTTTGTCATATAAATGCATTTTGAAGATTTCAGAAGATCAAAACCTACATTTAACAAGTAATCCATTGAAATAAATAAAAAGTAAGCTCTTTTAATGATTCAGTCTAAAAGATGACAGCAAAATATCAGCAGATTTTAGCTTTCCTTGTAGGGCTTTATCACTACACAATGAGCATTTGTCCTTGGTTTTTAATTACTTACATTAAGAAAGCTTTATTCAATACAGGATTCCCAGGTGTTGGTAGCGCTCTTCAATTCCTTTATGTATTGTTCCCTTAATTGTTACTTCAAACAATCCGTTACACATTCATATGCTAATTACATAGTCCTTGGGCGTGAGAGAGTACCCCACTTTTAAAATTCTACTTAGAGGTCTGATAGATGAGATGTGATAGCTTCAATGAACAAGAAAAAAGAAGCTAGGTTCACTTTTTTTTGTTGTATTATATACTTTGAAAACCAGTAAATCCTATATAAAATGAATCTATCAAAGTGCTTACACGTTTTTAAATCAATTAAAATAATGAAATATAGAATGTTTTTTGTGGCTTCTGTGAATTTAAGTTTCTTTCACTTTTATGTTTTGTTTCTTTCAATTTAAAAGTATTTGCCAGGTCTGTTTTGGCATGAGTGTTTTGTAGTGAAAAAACTAAGGAAGAAGTTTCAGGAATGAATTGTACGTGCAAAGTACAGGCAAATATACATTATTAAATTTTTTAAGGCTACTCTAAAATTTGTCCTGAAAAAATATTCTTCATGAAATGGCCTTTTGACCTGCTACCAAAATTAGGAGAAATCTCAGGCACCCTTAAATGTTCCTGTTTCAACATATTCCATCTTGTACCTACCTTAAGCACCTACAGATATGCAAATATGTATGTATGTGTGTGTGTGTGTGTGTCCTTTATTTTTCCTTACATTCAGATGATGGAAATCAAAGTCTACCACATAGAAGATAATAGATTAACCTAGCTTTTTCTTTTCTTTTCTCTTTTTACTCAAGTTCTTTTTAAAACAACAACAACAAAAAATCTGGATGCTCACTTCCTACTAAAAATATCATTATAAATATTTTGAGTTATAGGGGCTGCTAGCTGGCTCAGCCAGTGAAGCACGTGACTCTTGATCTCAAGGTTGTGTGTTAAAGTCCCTTGTTGGACCTGGAGCCTCCCTAAAATTTAACAAAAATAAAAAAATAAAAAAAGTTTGAATTATAAAAATATCTGATTTTTCCCTAAAGTCTCTGCTTCAT